GGGGCGTGTCCTTCCCTGGTGTGGGTTTAGCCCTGCAGGGATGGTGGAAGCAGCCAGGGACTTCACAGCTGCTTCAGCACCCCCAGGACATGAGTGTAACATGTCAGATTTACCTTCCCAGTTGTGCAACTCCCCCTCCAGCTGTGTTATAGGCCCCTTTTAAGTAACAGTCTTCCACAGCCTAAAGGGGCTACAGGAAACCTGGAGAACAGCTTTGGACAAGAGCCTGTAGGGACAGGAGAAGGGGAAATGGCTTTAACCTGCTAGAGGGGAGATTGAGATGAGCTCTTGGGCAAAAGTTCTTCCCTGGGAGGGTGCTGAGGTGCTGGCATAAGGTGCCCAGAGAAGCTGTGGCTGCCCCATCCCTGGCAGGGTTCCAGGCCAGGTTGGGCTTGGAGCAACCTGCTCTAGTGGAAGGTATCCAGCCCTAGAGTCTGTGATTCTCTTCCTGTCGTTAAAAGCTTCCTGCCTGCCCTCCATAGCCCAGGGCAGGTGGGTACAAGCTGTTCAGCTCCGTCTGGTTGCCTCAGTTCTGCTTCAGCAAGCAAATAGACTCACAGTGTGGAGATGCTTTAGCAGAATATTTATTCAATGCCATACTGAAGAGCAAAACTCGGCACAAACATAACCCCTCCGTGCCCTGCTCACTGTTACACTGAGCCATGGGAGCAGATTGCACAGTCTCGGGGGAGGAGGAAAGTGGAGGATATTCCTTTGCTGTGTGACTGGATTGAGCACTGGGTGTGGAGCCTGTGCACACACACAAAGGACTTCCCTATTTCTGGAAGTCCCATGCTGACAGAAAACCTGAGTACAGGGGCTGTGGTTAAAGCCTCAGGCACCTGCTGGGGCACAAACACTCTAAGGGCACAGGAGCTGTTAAAGCCATTGATGTGCATCATCAGCACAGTGTCCACAGCCTCCAGGAAGCCTATTTGCAGCCCCCAGCTGAGTGGCACAGACAACTGCCCCCCTGCTCCCAGGGGAGGCCCCAGATGCCTTCCCCTGCCCTGCCCGGGACATGGCTCCTTCCGAGGCACAGCCCAAAGCCCAGGAGCGGTTCCTTCATCCCCATCCCGGCCAGGGCAAGAGCAGGAGCTTAATTTTAGACCCTTAGATTCAGGTACCTGCTGTAGAGAGAAAAGCCTCAGGGCCAGATACAGCGAACACAGGCTCAACTGCTCCAGCTCCACCAGCTGTGGGTACCTCATCTCCAAACCCAGGGTGAAGCTTATTCAACTGTCATGTCAGGCAGAGGAGGGCTGCAGTCCCCGGGCACCCCTGGGAACCTGCAGCCACCCATGGGTGCCTACACCCGTTCATGGAGAACATACCAAGAGAACCTGAAGTGCCACGACTTGAGCAGTGTGGGAGGGAGGTGGCCACAAGAGCCACCAGCCATGGACACAGCTGCCCCCCGGAGGGGACAGCCGAGCCCCTGCAGTAAGTGTGCTACCAGTGCCACAGCTTAGTGAAGTGGTGGAAGCAGAGGAAGGGCGAGCAAAGACCATGTCACCACCAGCCTCCCCACACTCAAGTTTTGCAACTGGCAAAATCAACATGTTGTTGCCAACAGAAGTCATGGGCTGGGCACTGGCTGCCCCCCCCAGCCCTGCTGCCTTCCAGGGCAAAGATGCCCCTCAGGGAGGAGGCACTGGCCTTGCCCAGCAGCCAGCCCAACTGCCTGGGGAGGTTTGGGACGAAACCATGAGTAAAACTACGTTAAAAGAGTCCTGCAATGGAGCAGCGCTGCACTGGGCTCTGCAAAGTGCTCTGCAGCAGCAGCTCTCGGCAAGGTCAGCCACATCCCAGGCTCACCAGTACCAGCACTGGGAATGCGCCTCAGTCTGTTCTTGGAGACCAGAGCTCACCCTGAGCAAGCTGTTACGAAGTAGTAGCGTTTGTGAGAAGCTGTGGGGAGCCCACCCTGCACTGATCAGCTCAGGCTGCGCCCGTGGGGCCCAGGAGCAGGCCCTTGGCTCTTACATTCTGTCTCTGAAGCAGACGCTCCAAGGAGGAAGCAATTCCCGCTACCAGGGCCCCTCCTGACTCAGCAGATGGGATTCAGTGCCCAGAGCTCGTCTCTTGCAGAGGGCTCGAAGCTCTGCAGGCTCCAGAGGTGGCTGCAGTGAGAAGCTGCAGGTGCGGGTGGAGCCGGGTTCAGCTTTTCTGGTTCAAGAGCCAGGAGAAGAGCAGTTTCCTGGGCCGGGGCCTCCAAGCCTGTCGGCTGCGCACAGCACGAGGGGAGCGCCACACCTTGATGGTGGTGTCGTCACTGGCGGTGAGGAGCAGCTCCTGCTCCATTGGGCTGAACGCCACCGAGTTGACCACGTTGTCGTGCTGCAGCTTGGCCAGGCAGATGTTATAGTGCCGGTCCCAGATATAGCCGTGGCGATCCTCTGCCCCGCTGTGGTGGACAGGACAAGGTGAGGACATCACCGAGAGCTTGCTGCTCCCAACACCCTGGCCCCACCTGCAGTCCTGTCATCCACAGAATCACAGACTGGTTTGGGCTGGAAGGGACCTTCAAAGCTCACCCAGTCCAACCCCCTGCAGTGAGCAGGGACACCCTCAACCAGACCAGGTTGCT